AGACAGGTCTTTAGAGAGGGACATCATGCTGGGCAGAGTGGAGGGACAGCGCAGGAGGGGAAGACCCTCTATGAGGTGGATTGATTCAGTTACTGGGGTAATCAGGATGGGTGTGTCAGAGGCAATGAGATTGGCACAGGACACAGCAGGGTTTAGGGCTGTTGTACATAGGTTGCTATGAGTAGCAAATGACTCGATGGCACACAACAACAACAACAGCCTAAAGATTCCTTCCAACAGCTGTGGCATTAGCCCATGCCTCTCATATTTTAGCGGAATAACAATCACTGAAGATAAGAAGCAGTAGAGAGTTTGCTCAGATTGCTAGTCCCACTCCAATTTTCTGTTTCAGTCGGTAGACCTGGATTGAACCAGGGAAATAAGCATTTCTGCAGAACACCTGAGAGATTCTGTACCTCAGGTTGGATAGCTTGGGCCAAGGATCTTCTTGGAATTGGAGTCATCTTTTTCATATGCCTCCCTTTCTAAAGAGTCCAAACAAGCAAACATAAAAGGTTATCAAAGCACAAGCCTCTAGACTCACCAACTGTAGAAATCAGCCCATACCCAGAGGGAAAAGCACTGACCCAAGGAAAGTCATGCGCCTAGAAAGACTGACAGAAACTAGGTGATATCTAGGAAAAAAGTGGGTAGAATTTCCTTCCTTATTTCAGATTAATGCCAGTGCTTTCCTGTCTTGGTCACTTCCAGAATCTACCTCGTGTGGACTTGAACTCACATGAGGAACCCTGGCATTCTTGAACAACCATCTCTGAGAAGGAAAAACTTCAGATATTCAGATATCTATTGTCTTCTCTCAAGACAAAAGCAGTTTTAAGACAGTACTGCCCTGCTTGGGTCCTCAAACAGACTTCTTCAAACCACTGAACTTCCTTTTCCAGGGCGACACAGAAAGTGGGCTCTGTCTGATGATGTAACTTGTACAAACATTTAAATGTAAACTTAGTCCTGTGTGGTAGTGCCTGTGCCTTTGTTGTTTTGTTTGTTGGTCCTTGCTGCATTTCATGTTGCTGTTGAATGTACTGTCAAGTCAACTACAACTTAGTCACCCAGTGAGCAAAAGATGGGAACCTTTCCCTAGCCTGTGCTCACCAGGTTTCAGCTTATAGGCCACAATCTCCAGTATGAACACCACCCTGTTCTCTCCAGCACTCCAGTTCACCATAGAGGCAGTTTAATAGTTGAGAGCAGTTTATATCCAGCCACACCAAAACACCAATCCCACACCAAAACCACAAACAACTAAAGTTTGTATCCTTGTTGTGGCAAAAATAATGAACTTGGATCAAGTATTGTTACTTTAGACATGATTTTCCTCCTCTGGAAATTGGGATGACACACTTACCTCACTTGATTCTTTCAAGGATTGCTTTAGGGATTTAAAGAATACATATGAGCAGTCTCCTCCCATGTGATTCCCAGCCTCTGAACACCCCACCGCAGGGTCAGTTAGGAGCTGGTTCTGACTCGGAGGCACACAACAACATAAAGTTTATTACTTAAGCACCTGGCCCTTAGCTGATGCCCAATAAATGGTGATTGCTATTACCTGGGTGCTTCCAACTTTTCCATTTATTTTCATATTCTATATCAATATAGTCTTCCTTTTTAAAGAGAGGCAGGTGGGGATGGGCTTGTGGGAGGCTCCTAAAGGCCCAGGTTGTAGAAAGTGCATTTCCAGAGTGGCTCAGAAAATCAGCCCTGCACACCCATGTTTATTGCTGCTTTGTTCACAATAGCAAAGAGTTGGAAACAACCCTAGTGACCATGAACAAACGAATGGATAGAGAAGCTTTGGTATATTCACACAATGGAATATTATGCAGCACTGAAAAACAAAGAACTCATAAAATATACAAAATGGGTAACCCTGGAGGACATCATGCTGAGTGAAATATCTCAGTCACAAAAAGACAAATACTGCATAATGCACTGTTATAGAACAGGACTGATATGGGGGTTAGGGGGAAACTAAGAAAATAGGGGATAAATAATGTACAGAGCATTGAAACAGATGAGGGAGAGAACTGCATAAAAGGAATATATGATTAGGTATTATTGACATGACAAAAGTCCAGAATAAGAATTGCATAGGAAAGTGGCGGTGGTGGTGGGGCAGACACAGTATAACAATGCAAGAACTTTTTTTCCAAAGGAAAAAAGTGAACTGGGGGGTGGGGGGCCAGGGAGGAAAATATGCAACAATGAATGAATGGAAATCCAAGTTTTTTATAAACTTTCATTATCGTAAGAGCTCGGAATGAGGGTTGCAGAGTGGAGTATATTCGGGGTGGAGGTGAAGCTGGGGGAGGGGTGGTGCAGGGGAACTGTTTACCAATGAAGGAGTTTTTTGCTTTTCAAGGAGAAGAGCGAACTGGGGGTAGGGGTGGGGTGGACGGGGAGAAAAGTGCAACAATGAATGAATGAATGGAAATCCAAAATCTCTGTAAATGTTCATTGAAATTAATAAATAAATAAAAATATATACACACCTACATACATACATACATACACACTAGGGGGGCGGGGAGAAAAGAAAATCAGCTCATGCTAAGGGTAACACAGATTTTTATTTTTAAACACTTTTATGGTGATACAGGTACGGTAGACTCCAAGAATGGGACAACTTTAAGATATTTTCCAATAGGGCTAAAGCTCTCGTGCCCCGAAGAATCCCAACGTTTCTTTACTGTGAAGGAATCAGTAGGTATCTGGAGAGCCAAGTTCTCTATTTTCAGAAGCAAATTGAAGAGCAAGTTGAAAACGCCCAGGAAAGTGGAGTCCGGCTGCTGAAGGTAAGACCGGTTTCCAACTACTGCGCAAACAAACTAAGGTTTAATCTGATCACAGAATGTAATGCATTGTTTAGAATAGAAGGTTTTGAAGACTGAAGTTTTTAACATTAAAAAGTTGAAAGAATAAAAATCGTCACGTTAAAGTTCTTTTTACACACTCAAAAGTCATCTTTAGCATTTCTTTAGCTCTGTCTTGTTCTTACTGTGTGTGTATGCATGCAGCCATGTGCCTGCTTCACAAGACAGTACTACATGTATTTTTGTAATTTGCTACTAAATAAAAATATTATTAATTAGTTGTCTTCTATTTCACTATTTAAAAGGCAGTACAGCATCGTTTCCTTATGGATACATATGTATACTTTGGGGGTTTTTATGCTTTGTGGATATTGTGTTGTTTTTCAGGTTTTGGAGTTCATTAGGGAAGGAAAAGTTTATAAGATTACAGGGTGGAAGGGTTTAGTTCTTTTTTTTTTTTTCCTTCAGATTGAAAGTTAGTAGTGGTCCTGTGTTAACGAAGTCTTCTCTGCCATTCTCCCAACTCAGCATCTCATTATCTGTCTCTGTGTTATATTTTGGCAATCTTCCTTATACTTTCAACTTTTCATAATGTTATTACATACTTAATAGGCTACTAAAAATATCCCTCAAATTAATTGTTTAGAGTAGGTTCCAATTCGTAGAGACCCTCCACCTGGTTTTCACGGCAGTAACTCGAAATGGGAGTCCTGCTCATCTTTCTCCCTTGGAGTCAAGGTGGAATTGAACCACCAGAGACACAGCCGTTAGGCTAACAGCAAAACCCTGTACAGACTGTGGCACCAGAGTTCCATTAACGGACCACGGCATAATGTAAACATATCTTTTCTATAAGGCACAGGGAAAACAAGTTGTATTACATGCTATATCAAGCTATCATCTTTATCACAGTAGTCTGAGACCAGACACATCATATTTCCTAGACATACTGTAAAATTACATAGACAAAACTCTTTTTATATAGAGCTTTTTTGTCTTTCCCCCCCCCACACTGTTATTGCTGTGGTAAACACCTGGATAGATAAACATTTGCACACAGTCCTGATACTTTTCTTCTTGACTGTTTAAAACTCAACTATAAGAAGTTGTGCTAAAAAAGGAAAAAACGTTTTGCTGCAATCCCAAAGGCAAGTGGTTCGAATCCACCCAATTATCTGCATGAGAAGGATGGGCAGTCTCCTCCTGTTCAGTTAACAGCCTCTGAAAACCTACTGGAGAGTCAGCTATGACCAGTTCTGAATCACAGCAAACAATGCATTAAGCACGAGGCACTCGGTGCTGGGGTTCACAAATAAGTTAAGTCCAGTCTCTCAGTGTTTACAGGCTAACCTGGGCCAGCCCCCCACAAGCAGAGCGAGTAGGAGCTAAACCCCTGATATCTCTTGATGGCTAGTTGTTTGCTTTGATCTGTTCAAAGCCGAGCACAGGTGTATTCATTTTCTGTGGCTGCAGAATAAATTGCCACAACCTCCACAGCTAAAGACTCTTACTACCTTATAACTTGGCAGAGCAGGTGTCAGAGTGTGCTCAGCTGCATTCGTAGACTCTTCTCATCTGGAGGTCCTGAGAAGAAGCTGTTTCTGGCTCCTTCGGGTTGTTTGCTGACTCCGGCTCCTTCGGGTTGTTTGCTGACTCCAGCTGTGACCATTTTAAGACACGTCCCTAGTCCCTTATTATGAGCAGCCGTGAGGTTCTTGTTAGCTCCAACTTGTGCCATCCAGGTACAACACTCAGAAACACTGCTGATCCTGCTCCGTCTTCACAACTGTGATGGTGGTGGTGGTTGTTAGGTGTCACCAAGTCAAGTAGGACGCATAGTGACCCTATAAACAACAGATCAAAACCCCATCCTGTCCTGTGCCATCCTCACACTTCCTGAGACACTAGAGCCCATTGCAGCAGTCACCGTGTCAATCCACCTGGTTGAGGGTCTTCCTCTCTTTCACTGATCCTCCACCCTGCCCACATCATGGCCCTTTCCAGGGAACAGCCCCTCCTAGCAACATGTCCAAAGTATGTGTGAGGTGAGGCAAAGCTTCACAATCCTTGGGCTGTTCAGTGCTCTTCTCCAGAACCACAGCTCAAAGGTATCAATTCTTCTTCTGTCATCCTTATTCATTGTCCAGCTCTCAGATGCACAGCAAGTGATCAGAAAGACCAAAGCCTGAACCAGAAGCACCTGAGTCCTCAAACTGACATCATTACTACTCAATAATTTGGAAAGGTCCCTGGCTGCAGACTTTCCCGCTCCCATGTATTTCCTTATTTCTTCACTGCTAGGACCAAGGGTGTTAATTGTAAATCCAAGCAAGATGAAGTTGTTGACAGTTTCAATCTCCTCTCCATCCATCATGACTCTGCCTATTGGTCTAGTGGTAAGAATCTTTATTTTCCTGACACTGAGATGCAATCCATACCGAAGGCTGCATTCCTTGATCTTCTACAATAAGTGCTTCAAGTCCTCCTCACTTTCAGCAAGCAAGGTTGAGTCATCTGCATAACGCAAGTTATTGATTAGTCTTCTTCCAATTCTGATGCCACACTCTTCATAGAGTTCAGCTTTTTGGATCATTTGCTGAACATATGGATTGAACAGGTATTGAGAGAGAGCACAACCCTGGTAGCTCCTGTTTATTTCGAATGCCTTCCAAATGGGAGGCTCATCTTCCAGCACTGTATGGTATAATATTCTGTTGAGATCTATACAGCTTTCATTGGCTAATTTTCCGAAATAGATCACCAGACCTTTCTTCTAATGGTGACCTTGCTGCTGATATTTGATACAACAGCTGAGTTGCTTCTATCAACATCCCTGTTTCAAACATGTTAAAATGTTTAAAAATAATATATCTTGGGTTCACTGAAGCATGGCAACTCAAAGAAGCATCTGAATATTCTCAGTTGCATGTTTTTTTTTTTTACTCTAAGCTCTGGTGGCCTAGTTGTTAGGGAGTTGTGTAGCTGTGGCTAAAACAATGGCAGCCCTTCTCTGGCAGTTCAAATCCCTCAAAGGCCCCAGGGGAGAAAGATAGGCAATCTTTTCTCATGAGACTAACAGCCTTTAATAAAAACCACTAGAGGTCAGTTCTAAGTCAGTTCTCACTCGATGACAATGAGTTTTGGAGTGGTTTGTTGTTTTTGGGGGTTTTTTTGCACATTTCTACTTTTACAGCCAGATACTTTTACATTTGCCTGAGGTTGAAAGCTAATCCCGACTGCTGTCATCCCCATGCACCTCAAGGTCCCTTGCTGCAGTTTTTTAATAGCAGCGCACCGGATCACCATGTATAAAACACAGAAAATTCATTGTCCTCACTGCACTGGAATGAATGAATGTACGTTCTGGCCTAGCGTGGTCCTTTATACCTCAGATTCAGAAAGCTTTCCTACTGGTCAGTCAGGCTATGGCGATATCTGGCTTGGTTTTAGGCAGCAATATTTTGGAATATAATTTAATGTTTTGTTTCCTAAATGGGAAGAAAGGGGGGGAAAAGAGGGGGGGACCAAACCAGCTTTTGTGGGATTTGAGAAATGCTTCACCTCATGTTGCTTTTGGGGGGAAAGTTAAAAATCATTTGAGAAAAATTCACAGAACATAAACTGAACCACCTTAAGCAGCAGCTAATACATTTACTTACAATGTTAGGCAACCCCCACATCCACTTAGTTACAAAGAGGATCTTCACGCAGTCAGCTGTCTCCCTCAGCCCTCCCCAGACTCCCGCTCTTGCTCACTGCTGTCAGGTGGAAGGACTAGTAGGAGAACCTGCACTGGGTGTCTGGGCTGTGAATTGCGGGGGAGGAGATTGCCGTCTCTCAACCCTTGGAGCCGCTAGTTGATTCTAACTTCACCAGAGGTCTGGCTTTTGGTTAGCAGCAGCACATCTCCTTACAGACCAGGAGCTCCTCCCAGGTGATTTACAACCTACTGTCTGTCTCCATCAATTTATCTACTGTAAATATTTCCTGTGAATGGTGACAGCATGTTACCTTGTGTGTCTGATTTCTTTCAGCTAGCATGTTTTGCAAGTTCATCCACAATGTAGCATGGATCAGCACTTAGTTCATTATTTATAGCTGAATAATTGCATGGTTCAAAATTGGGAAGGGAGTTTGCCAGGGATGTGTCCTGTCTCCGTATCTTTTCAACTTGTATGCAGAACAGATTATCTGGGAGGCTGGGCTCTATGAGGAGAAATGTGAGGTCAAGATTGGTGGACGATCTATCAACAATCTGAGATATGCAGATGACACAACCCTGCTTGCTGAAACTGAGGAGGACCTGAAGCACTTGCTGCAGAGGGTCAAGGACTGCAGCCTCCAATATGGATTGAGGCTCAATGTCAAGAAGACAAAGATTCTCACCTCTGGGCCACTTGGCAGCATCAGGATGGATGGCGAAGAGATTGAGATTGTTCACAGCTTTAGTTTGCTTGGCTCCATAGTCAACACTCTTGGCACCAGCAGCCAGGAAATTAGAAGACATATTGTGATGGGAAAGTCTGCTGTTAGGGACCTCTCCAAAGTACTGAAGAGCAGTGGTGTCTCTTTGGAGACTAAAGTGTGTCTGATACAGGCCATGGTCTTTGCAATCACTTGTTATGCATCAAAGAGTTGGACAATGACTAAGGAGGATAGAAGGAGAATTGATGCCTTTGAGCTGTGGTGCTGGAGAAGAGTGTTGAGGGTACCATAGACTGCTAGGATAACAAACAGATTCATCCTGGAAAGGATTAAACCAGGCGGCACCTTGGAGGCAAGGATTCTAAGGCTCCGTCTAACATACTTTGGACATGTTGCAAGGAGGGACAGGTCCTTGGAGAGGGACATCATGCTTGGTAGGATGGAGGGACAGCGCAGAAGGGGAAGGCCCTCTATGAGGTGGATTGATTCAGTGACTGGGGTAATCGGGATGGGTGTATCGGAGACGTTGTGATTGGCACAGGACAGAGCAGAGTTTAGGGCTGTTGTACATAGGGTCGCTACGAGTCACAAGCGAGTCAATGGCACATAACAACAACAACAATATACCATTTATAGAAATTGGGCCCCCAAAGTTTTCACTTGCTTAACACCCAGCTATAAATGTAGTGTATGGAACCACCAAAAGTAATTTCTGATATGGTAATAGCTACAGTCCTTCTTAATGCAAAACTTATACACAACCTTTGTATTTTTCTGAAGAAAAATCAACTTCACATAGCTTGTAATACTATTAAAAACAGTGCTAACTGTGAACATTATTTTACATGTCTATTATACATAATGCTTGGAAGGCAGAGTGGCATCCACTTCCGTAATAGCTTGCCTCCGGAAACCCTCTAAACCTGGAGAGAGGATGAAAGACACCCAAGCGTCGAGGACTCTCCTTCATAGGGTCGCTATGAGTCACCTGCGACTCCACGGCACTTAACAACAACAATTGTTTAGCTCTTCATTTGTTAATGGATGGTCGAGTTTCTCCCTTTGACTGTTGTGAAGAGTGCTAGTCTGTACAAGCATATATTTTAATTATTTTAGGTATGTACATAAGGGTAGAATGAGTCAGTAAAATGACATTTCCGTTTTTAACTTTTTTTAAAAAAATTATACGATCATTCCTATACATTGTTTCATTCATACACATTTTGTTTTATACATTTATTTCTGTACATTGTGTTTTATATAATTAATTACTGTTGATCTATTACTCTCCCCATCTTAAGTCTCCACTGCACTCTGCCCTTTCCTTTACTCTCCCCAGTCCTCTAACATCTGCTGTCCTAGTGGTTTCCCTTTATTCTTCCACACTCCTTCTCCCTTTATCCTTCTAAACAATTACATTGAACGTGGTCCTGTTTGCTAACTGCAAGAACCATATTGCCTTTGTCTCGATTCTTCTCAAATTGATCCTCCCTTGACTTAGCCCATGTAGTGTTCTTTCTCTAACCATTCCATTCTGTTCTCTTTCCCCCTCCCTCCCTCAATTACCCTCTTATTTTATATACTAGTAGTCTTACACACCATTTGTCCTTTTGTGACTGAGTTAATTCACTCAGAATAATGCTCTAGACTCTCCCATATTGTGTCATACTTGACAATATTTCATTCTTCTTTAGTGCTGCATAGTATTCCACTGTGTGAAGGTACTACAGTTTTTCTGTTGGTGTGCATTTGGGTTGTTTGCATTTTCTTACTATTGTGAATAGCGCTGCTACAAACATAGTTGTACATATCTCTGTTTTTAGCTCAGTTCTGATTTCCTTGGGGCATATCTCCAGTGGTGGAATGGCATAGAAATCCTATAGGATTTCTATGTTCATCTTTTGGAGGAAACACCAGATTACCTTCTATAATGGTTGTACAATTTTACTCCAGGAGTAAATGAAAGCTCCAATCTCTCCACATTCTCTCCAACACTTCCTGCTTGCTGTCCTGTTATCTTTGCTCCTGCTGCTGGGATAAGATAGCAACTCATTGTTGTTCTGTGTTTAACGTTCTGAGAAATAGCTAAACAGTTTTCAATAGCAGCTAAACCATTTTGACTTCCCAGGAGCACTGTATAATATCTTTAATTTTTCCACATCCATGCGCACATGCACACAAATTACAACTCAATCCAACCCCACGTGTTCCAGATTAGAAGTGCTCCTAGGGTTTTCACGGCTATAATCTTTATGGAAGCAGATCACCAGGCCTTTCTTCTGCTGAGCTTTGAGCTAGGTGGGTTTGACCCTCCAACCTCCAGTCTGTTGGTCAAGTACAAACCTTGTGCGCCACTCACAGACCATGCATCCTCACAACACTTGATATTTTTCTTTCTTCTAGTCACCCTTTGGATTAGTAGCACAACTCCGTACATACGACACCACCAGAGCTTGATGGTTTAGATCCTTCAAGTATTCCATAAAGTCATCAAGGACACTTTCTGATTCACATATATTGGGTTTTTCTCCCTTCTTTTGGAAAAACAGAACTTGGAGATTCTGGTGGCTAAAAATACTGGCCCTGTCTTCTGTCCACGGCTCTACCACCTGATGGCCTATGTCTCTATACTCATGGGAGACGGAGAGAACTGTGACTTCTTCCTGCACATGGGCCTACATCTCTCTGAAAAGCATGGGAATTCCCTGGAGAAATGCTGGCTGAACATGAGCAAAGTATGTGGTAACTAAAAAGTTGCGTTTGGTGCTGGGGGGTGGGCATTCTTCCAAGGAAGTTCTAGAAGGCTTCTGCCTGCTTGGGTTTCACCAGGCTTGGAACACCGCCACCATCATCATGGGCTCTCCCTGAAGGGGTGACACACGCACAGTGCCAGTAGGTAAGCTTTCATGTTGTCAGGGAATCTTTTCCTGCTCCAAACCCCTGCCGCATCTGTGGCCCTTACCACTTTCCACTTTGTTTTACATCTGTTTGCATCATTTTTCTCCTCTCATGAATGTGAACTCTTAAAAGGCAAAAAGTACTCTCAGTACCTAGCACACTGCTTTTGTACTCCATTTTTTGTTGAACAAGTTCAATGGAATTGAATATAGGAATGTTCAAGCCTCTATGTCTATTTAAAGAAATGTGTCAGTACCATAATCTGGGGAGCAAAAGTCAGTGTTTGTCTATGGGTTCACATGGCTTTGAAGCTCAAGGAGGTTTTGGCATAGGGGATATTGGGCCAGTCTTGATCATGCAAGTCAAGGGGCACAAGTTAACTCCCTGCTCTTTCCTTCTTCTCAGGAATGGTGGTATTCAAGCACTGAGGCAGCAGCAGATCAATGGATGCAAACAATCTTGAATCTCCCTTCATCGGAAAATATCTTAACCGACAAGATCAGCATACAGGACATTCAAAAAAACAAATTCCTGATGAGAGTTAATATCCTGGACAATCCTTTCTAACATTTCATGAGGGAGAAAAAGATGTCAGTGATGTCATCGTCCCCACATTAAATGATGATGTCATCATTACCACATTAAATTTTCTCTGTTGGCAGCACTTCCCATGTTCCCATCCACACACGAAACCATACACATTCATGTCTTCTCTTTCTGGAGGGTAAAAAGGGTCAGTTATTTTGTGCTTTGCTTGTCCCTAACTTTTTACACATTGCCTGTACCTTTTATATAACTTGACTTGCAAACATGTACCAGCCCATGCAAACTTGTATCCTACCAAAAAATCAATGTCAACATGGTACATGTTGCAACCTGTACATTTCTAGTTAATGTATTAAAATGTCTATTTTTTAAAAGTGTTCAGTTGTGAAAGTTTTGCATATAGCACAATATTATAAACAGGAAACTTTTTCATGATCTGGACAGTCAACATGAGTAAGACATGGCCATTGCCTCAAGAAGTTTGTTACTTGAAAAGACACATTTCAGAGTTTGATTGTACCTTCCAAAGTGAGGTAATTTTCAAACTTCTCTAATAGTATCAAATACCCCTGAGAACAATTTTTTTTTCAAGTTACAGCATTCGTCGTTTCGATCTGGGTACTTCTTGCGATGGCTGATACACTGTTTGCAGGACTATGGTGTCTTGCACGTTGCTGTGATGCCACCATATTCCAAACACCAGCCGGGATGCCCATGGTGGACAGGTTTCAGCAGTTTTCAGAGTAAGGCAGACTAAGAGGTATGACTGGCCATCCACTTCAGGAATGAAAGACCTTTGAAAACTCGATGGATAACAGAAAAACACGGAACATGTGGGCTATAGTGCTGCAAGATGAACCCCCCAGGTTGGAAAGCACTTGAGATGTGACTGGGGAAAGAATTGCCTCTGGAAAGCTGGGTCCACCAGAAGGATGCAGATAGAGTAAAACACCTGATAAAAGACCTTCATTTGCTAGGGTTGCAGAGTGGATTATATTTGGGGTTGGGGGTGGGATTGGGGGAGGTGCGGGGGGGATTGTGCACCAATGAGGGAGTTTTTCTTTTG